TATGAACTTCTAGAATGTCGATCATTTGTCGATCAACACTGTATTTAGAAATTCTATATTTGGTAAAATCCTTGACTATAATATATCAAATAATTAGAGTAGATCAACAATAATAAATCATCACCTCAGTGATAAATAAAAAATCATTATAAAATTATTTACCACAATTTAGTAAAAAAATCAATAAGCAATTTCAACACAAATTCAATAAAAATTGGTTTAAAATTAATAAAAAACAATGTGATTTCTCGATACAATTTCAACAAAATTTCAACAAAATTTTAACACAATTACAGAGGTGATATTTAGTCAATACATCAAAATTTCTTGTAATTATAATGTCATTTTATTCTGTAAAAAGTAAAAAAAAATTGTAAACATTATTGTATAACCTTTCAAATTACTATTCTATTATAATAATAAATTTATTGAGATTAGTTTGTTTTGAAAAGACAAACTGTTATTTTAAAACTTTTTTTCTAAGCTTTTTAATAAATCTTAACTCTTCCTTTTTTATGTCAAAAGATTTTTCTTATTGCTCTAAATATAAAATTACTTTATTATAAGCCTCAATAACTTCTTCTAGAAATAATTATTGGTGATAAAGAATCTTCCTCTTTTTCATCTTCTTGATCAGGTAAAATGCTTTTAAAATTTCTTTTTTAGATATCATTTCGTTTGTAATTTCAGACTTATCATACTTGATAATAATTCCGAATGAAAAAAGACAAATACACACTTTTACAAAAAAATTCGGAGAATCGTGAAAAACTTACGAAATGTCACAATAACGGTGAAATTACGATAACGATAATGCCCATTACCTTTTAAAAGTTCGAAAAAAGAAATTGAATATTTGGCGCGAAAACATAATTTATAGTTATGTCATTTACTCAAAACTACAGCACAAACTGCAACAACAGAAAATGAAATAGAATAATCCGGATCCAACTACAGTAAAAGATTATACTAAAAAGATTTTGCTCAATTTCTTCCTTAAAGTCATATTAGAACTTTCTGATGATTAATGAAAAGAACCTAGCTGCGCTAATTCTCCAACTGAACGAAGAACTTGAGCAAGTAATTAAAATTTCATTCAAAAAAAGGTTGTTTTGGATGGATCTATTGCTATCACGGAAGAAAACTATGTCACCAAATTTCTATGAAAAACATTTTATTATCTTCAGTAAGTAACGGAATTTCACCATAATGAAATCGTAACTGTCTTTTTAAAGTTGTACTATTATCAAATATCTATAAATTATGGTAACACATTGGTATATCTGCTCTGCCTGAACGATCAAATTTAATTTCAAGAAAATACCTAAACTTTATCAGTTAATAACTTTTGATCTCAACGTCACTTTATAGCACTAGTCAATATCTATCGATCTACGTTGAGATATTTTAAATATATGCACTAGAAGATTTTTTATTTCATTTTTAAGTTTGATAATTTTATTGGATGGCTTATTGTGAAACAAACCGTACTGCGCATTTATTCCAAAATCAATCGTGATGATATAATGAAGATCATATTATGCAATCTGAGACTTAGGACGTACGAGACCTGTTTTTAGCTAGAATATGCATGAGCTTCGTTTGCATAGTATTTTTCTTCGAAACACTCACTGAGATATTATGTAAACAGAAAACTGTTATTTATATACAAAATAAATGGAATGAAAGGCCCGTTAAATAGTCCCCTAGATAGTCCTCCAACAAGGTCTTTATTTGTATTTACTGAAAAATCTGTTTTAAACCCTGCTTTAACTCTCAATTTTCGCATTTGCAGGCATACCACCAATATCATGGCATTTTGTTTTGTGGTGGGTACTGAAGTTGAGAGCTCCGTTGAAGTCGAAAGTCACACAGAAATGAGTATTTCAAAACTCAAGGAAATAATCTATGAAAAGAGAAAGAACAAGTTTGAGAACAAAGGTTTTGATCCCAGCGACCTGTATCTATGGAAGGTGAATATTCCTGTCACAGAAAACGCTAAACTGAAAACACTTAAAAGCAGATTTCATGATATAAGTGATGAAAGTACTATTATTGAAGAGCTTGGAGGAGTAAAGTTGACCCCATTTGATAATGTTGGTGACATTTTTGTGTGTAGTGACTTGAAGAATATCCGCATCATCACGCAACCATCACTGTCTGCCACCACTGGTAAGTGTTTCCCAATGGTTTACCTCTCAAATAAGAAATTCGCAGATCTTTTATTAATCAGTTTGTTCTTTCTTTCTATTTTTTCCCATTCTCCCACAAAGAACCACCAAGGAAAAAAAAAGGCGCCTTTAGGAAGTAAATCCTAAGGAAATATCTGTTATGAGTAATGAGATTCAGCGGGTCCCTGTGTCAGAATCAGAGTTCCAAAGGATGCGCAAGTATAATCAATTATATGTTGACAAAACATTTTGGTTAACTCAGCTTTGGTTAAATAATGGTCATTATTTCATATTATGGCCTTAAAAATTTAGCAAATCGATGTTTCTCTCAATGGTTGAATCTTTCTTTCTGGTTTAATATAGTCTTTTTGAAAATCTGTACATATGAGATCATCCACCAGAAATTATTGTCAATAGTAAAGCAGAGAAATGGGGTGAGAACTTGCCTTCGATCCCAATCATCTGGCTTGACTTTTCTTTGTTAACATCAGATAAAGGACCCGAAGCGTTAAAAAAGACCTTTTTTAAAACAAAAAGACTTGGCTAATGAATATGATGTTAGTGAAGACACAGTAAGTGACATTTTAAAGGAAAAAGACTATTGGCTTTCTGTAAATACCAATTCATACTAAGCCAATTTGAAACATGATAAAAAACTCTATTCCTTCTCGTTGAAGAAGCGTTAGTAATATAGGTAAATAATGCACTCAAAGTTAGCCTCATTATTACTGACGATATTCTTTCAACAAAAGCCTTGAGTTTTGCTTTTTTATTAAAGGAGGATAAGTTTA